TTGAGCACTTCCAGGATGCTAGGAGAGTACTTCACTGTAACCAGGACCAGGTACACGAAAGGGGCCCAGAACAAAGCACTGCATGGCTTACACTGGCTTCAGCTTGCTCCATAAATCCTCTAGATGCTTCACAAAACTGTTAGGTAACTCCTGTTGCCTTCAGCCTCACAAGAGCATTAGCATAGCTCCCTGTGACTCATTTTTTTCTTCTTTTTAAATATAGCAACCTATAAATGTAGATACATTCTGAGAAATAAAACTCATTGTTACTGTTCACCATGCAACTCCCCCAAAATAGAATTCCTTCTGTCAACTTTACTAGTTTCTTTTCCCCAAACAAAACACTTTGGTGCCACTTGCAAGGCCAAGTCAGAAAGAAGGCGGCCAGAGAGCCCAAGGACATGGCACAGTGGCAGAAGCTCTGGAGCCAGTGACTGGGCAGAAGGCTCTGTGACCAATCCAGCCACTTATATCAGCTCTGTCTTAAAGGGGACATCAGCAGAGCTGGCTCTGCACCCAGGAAAAGCAGGTGTTTGCCCAGAGGAACAGAGCTTCAATAGCTGTGATGTGCCAGCATCAGGGAAGCCACGTTTGCTAAAGAAGCAGTGGTAGCATATCTAGCTAGAGGATATTCCACACCTTTCCTCAGACTTACATCAGCATCCATCTGTCTTGCCCCTCCTTCACCAGGCTTGGCATTTCCTCCTTGGAAGAGCCCAATCTCACCTTGTCCAGGTGAGGAAATACACTAAGACACCTTAGAAGCATTGAGGAAGAATCTAATGGGTAGAGTATGGAGCAGAGCTTCATGGTTTTCACCAGTATTGAGCAACAGACTCAGCACCCTCCTGCCTGTCCTGCTGCAGTCCCCCCTGCACAATCGTGTGCAGTGTCTTGCTTTATTGAACACTTCAGTTCCCCATCTGTAGGAGCAAGATAAGTAGTAGGTGTCCATCCCATAGGTATGTTGCAAAATAAATATGCTTTACATTATTAGCGTTCCAGGAATACTTTAAAAAAACTGCACCACAAATACTAAGAGTAATCTATCACTGCTAAAAAAGAAACATAATTTGCTTTCAATCTTAAAGTCTTAACTATGCAAACACATATGCCAGAGTACAGAAGACTATTTTCTTAGTTTATCTGTTTCTTCTGATAACTGTGTTCAGCCTGGTGACTCAAACTGCTCTGATCACATGCTGTTTGAACTCAGTGCCCCAAACAGTGTCTGAAGAAACACGTGGATTGGTCTGTCTACAGCGTTGGCCAAGGCATCTGCCATCCTCCTCACTGTCCTAATCGACACAGCAGAAAATATATATGTGCATATCCATCCTGCTGTCAGGTGAGGGAAGAATAGACATTTTCACAACTTGGATTTCTCTAGTAAGATTGATTACCCATGAGAATCTGCTTTCCCACAGTGTTTTTCTAATCTTTCTTCAACCTCCTCAGTTAATATCTGAAATCAGTAGAGTGGAAGAGCTGCCATACCCGTCCCAGAAATTGACATTTTAAAAACATGATAATAGAAGTCCTTTCTTAGAACTTTCAGGAATATGTGTAGCTTAAAAAGCTGACTCCTATTTAAAATAATGACTAAGCCTCTCAGGAATCAACTCCCAAAGTCACACAGGTAGTTCTGAATGTGTTACCCTTTTACAGCAATTACACCATCACAGTTCCAGTCAAAAACTGATGAGTGTTACTAATATATGCTGATGAGTGAGCTTCTAAGTGAAAGACCTTGCTTTATTTACACTCCAGTAAATCACAATGCAAACCAAGACTTACTTTCACATACAAAAGCAACAGATTTGACCCTAGGACACACTTAGCAAGGTTAACCAATACCCAGGGACCAGGTTTATGGGAAACTGGCTGCGAGCTGATGCAGTTCTACTTTTTTTTTTTTTTTTTTTTGCTGTAGACTATGAAAACTTGGAGTAAATGCTTGGTTTTCAGTACCTTAACACCACTCACTGCACCAACCAGCAAACCTAATGAGAGCCAGATGGACAGTCACAGGTATTTAGCTGCAAGAATTTCTGATCTTACTCCATCAGTACAAAGGCAGTCTGTGACAGAGAAAACACTGGGAGACAGGTTTAGGTTTCCCATCTCTTATGCTAGCTCTGTCCAATGGACTGCTCCCTCTGATGAAGTCTGTGCACCTGCTACTGCATTAACTACCACTTGTTTCTGAAGCAGTAAAGCTGGCAAGAGGGTCAGCAGTAAGTAGTACAGCAAACTACTTAAAGATAAATACTGCTAACTTCCCTCAAACCTGCCCCCACCTCTTTCCTCAGCCATTATTCCAGCAGATATATTTTTGTAAATTATTTCATCATCTAAGAGCAGGTGGCCAGTTTGTCATATCTCTATGCAAAATTTCCATATGTATTACTCCGCCACCAGTGTTTTCTCATGCATACATGCATGGATCAGCAATTGCTCCACTACATTTTCAAACAGAGAATAAGAGTCATAAATCTCAAAAAAAAAAAAAAAAAAAAAAAGTATGCCAAGAAATTCAGCATCCTAAGCTACAGCTGTTCATTCCTCCCCTCTATTCAGAAAAAAAGCCACTTGTTCCTTACTGCAGATGTTACGAAGTTGATGGACTTGCTCTGGATGTACATTAGATACCAGCATTCAGGATCTGACCCACTGCACCATTCGACATTCGTGCCCATGCAGAAAAATCCAGTGACATTCAAGTAGAACAAGCAGTCTGCACTCTCCTCCCACTGACTATCTTGTCGAGTCCCTTCTGTAGCAACAACAGGAGAAGCAGCAACTCCACCAAAAAGTGGGCTAATGTTCCTCCCATCTGCCAGTCCCACGCTCATTCTGTTTTCACTTGGACCAAATCCTCCCAACTTCTTCTGCTTTACATTTCATTAAATCTGGATGCCACAGACACCAAGAATAATATTGTTGATCTTTGAAAGGTCACTTTCAAGGCACATTTCCATATCCTAAGACTACTTCTCTTCCTAAACCCTGTCTACGGGACTAGCTTGAAAGTCTGAAAATGAATTCCATATTTTCCATATTAGACCTGTTCCCTCAGCCCTGATCTACTTATTGAGGACAGCAGAAGCTTATGCAAATACCATTCTTGCGGATTCACGTTAGTATTCCCCACCTCCAGAATCTGATGTTCCCTCTGCACAAAGAAGCTGCACACTATCACACTGAGGCAAAATTTCTTCCTCCTTCAGCCTATGCAGGTAAAAGATGTAACGGAAGGCATGGAAGCTACATATTTAGGAGAAGATGAGGATAACTCCCACAAGCAGGGGGAATGCACTGCAGGGGTTGTGAAACTTGAGCACAGCAGGAGCAAGAAGCCACCAGGAGTGACAGCACCACAGGAGCAGCACAAAGCAAATAACTAAACCAGGCAAAGACAAATTAAGAGTGGTCCAGCTGAAGTCAGCATCCTAAACCCCTCAAGGATAGATTAACTCAGTTGAACAAACTGCCCAACCTGTATGCAACAGGTCAGCAGGGAGACCTGGCTTTACACACAGGTGACATACATAGAGACTCTTGGCTTGAATCCACAAGGAGTAATTTTACACCCAAAGATAGGAGAAAAAAAAAAAAAAAAAAAAAAAAGGCAGAAACAAGCAAGGCCAAACAGCCATCCTCAAGGAGCCCTCCAAAATTAGTAATCAAACAGAGGAGAGTTTCTGCTCCAATGGTCCCAGCAATGAAACATCACCTGCCAGCCACAAACAGCACACAATATGAGTGGCAGGCCACACAGGTCTCGAGCACAGATACAGCCAAAGAGGAGCACTGATGAATCACAGCATGATGTCAACAGTGAGAGTGGTTCATCACTTGTCCTACATCCACCTCTTACAGTGCCCTCACTTACCACTTTGCCAGGGACAACACCAGCTCAAAAACAGGGCTTGTCCTCTTCTTCCCAGTCCTGAAATGCAAGTGGATCTCTCCCAGTATCAAGGTGCGGAGAAAAGGAAACAAGTTCTGTCTACCTGCCTGAAAATCTGTTTTATCCCTTCAATTCTGTCAGTTTCAGTCTTAGTTTACGGGGAAAAAAAAAAAAAAAACCTCCAAAATGAAATAAGCAAGCAAAATATCACCCAATCCACACACAAGCCCCACGAAGAAGGCCAGCTTTGTTTCTGCAATTCTTAGTTCCTCTACAAAGAATCTTAAGCGGGTAAAAACACCCACCAAAACTTCAGTAAATTGAAACTGTCTTTCACATTAGTTCTTAACACAGATGCTGGGCCAGCTCTGTTCCTCTTGCAGCTGCTCTGACTTGGGAACCACACTAGCAGGGTGTTTGGCCCTCTGCAATTTGCACTGAGCTCTGTATCAAGTGGGATATTTCCTAGGATGGAGAATCAAAATAACAGCAAGTCAAACAAACTGATGCAAAACAATGGCATGAAGTGCACCCACAACTTTTAAAGAGATGCTGCCAGGATCAAATGTGAAGAACAAACTCCTGTTTCTGTCAGGAAATCCAAAGCCATAGGTATACTTCCTAAAGTTCCCATTTACTTCCTTGCCACACCCTTGTCACCCCTTTTACCTTCTCTTAAACTAATAGAATCCCATTTTTACAACGGCCCTAACAGACTTAGGGAAACAGAGAAGCACTTTTCATAAAGAAAATTGATGACAGCTAGTCCATGCAAATTTCAGCCTTCAAGATTTGTCCCTCTTGTGAAGCTAAATGCATAATTTCTTTGCAGAAATACAGAAAGATACATCCAGATATGGAGCACACCAACCTGGTGCATCAGTACTAACCAAAGAACGAACGACAATTTCCAGATGACAGATATTTCCAGACAACAGCATTCTTTCAAGCCTGCCACCAAAATCCCAGGTTGAGTTGACTCATAAGACAACCAAGGTTTTGAGGGCTTAGACTTTCACACGTTCACAACACTGAGCAACTAAAGCAGAGCAATGCCCGCTGGTGCACGTGGAGGTGCTGCAGTTACCTGTGCTGGGACAGCCACACTCAGGGCTCAGGTCTCCACTGTGAGCTGTGCTCCTCTACCCAAGAGGAGCCTCTACCTTGCGCCGATACGACATCCCAGTGTGTTGCACAAAGTCATCGACCTGCAGAGGGTCCCAGGAACAGACTGGGATGCTGCGAGTGGTCCGTAACGAGCACAATGCTACCCTGCTCCTCACCTGCCAGAACCCCTCTGCCCGGTAGTCAAGGCTCTCCGAGCACTGTTTCCAGAGTTTTTGAGCCGTTGGGAACAAAAAAACAAGTTGCGAGTTTGCATTCTAATCCCCAACAATCCCACGCACATGAGCTGAAAACGCCCAGTCCTGTCTCAAAGTAAAGAAAAAGACCAAAAAAAGAAAAACTGCCTCCTCCTCGTTGTAAGGAGAGATAGCATCTGCGTCTTGCTTCGAGAAGCCCAGCAAACGCTCGAGCAAACCAATCTGGAAGCTTTCACAAAGTCCTCGGAGGTCCAAAAGATAAGAGCTGAGGCAGCGCGCAGATCGGCAGAAGAGAAGGGAGGAAAGTAAAAGATCGCCGCGCGTCTGAAACCGCGGGGAGGGAAGGAAGGAGGACGGCCACAAACGCAGCGATCCCTCGCCCGACAAAGCCCTGCGTGACACAGGGTAACTCGGGAGAACGCCCTCCTCTCCTCACCGCGCACTGCGGAGGGAGAGACGCGGAACCCCCTCCCGCCCCTTTATTCGCGTTACCACGAAGCAAGAAACCCCCGAGAAGCCGACAGCCCGCACAAAGCAGCCCTACCGTGGGCAGCCTGCGGTCCCGAGCCGAGCAGCGCGGAGCTTCCTCCGTGGCCCTTTCTTCCCGACGCCGTCTCAGCCGAGCAGGGCCCGGCGGGGCGGCTCATGCCCGAGCGGCGCTCCGCATCGCAGCGCTGCGGGGAGAGGGACGGAGCGAAGTTGGCCGCGGCTCCCACCCCTCCGAGGGCACCTCCGCGCACTCGCGCTGCCACGCTCGCGATTCTCCACAAAGCCCCCGGCGCCGCCCCGCGCGTCCCCCGGCTCCGCGTCCCCCGGCAGCTGGACGGAGCCCCGCCGCCCTCCCTCCGCTCACCGGGGCCGCCGCCGCCGCGGGCCGCGCCCTCAGAGCCCGCCCATGCCCGGCGAGAG